AGATATCTCGGAAGAGGTGGGAATACCCACACTTTGCACCACCACAGCACAATACTCAAATCGACTTAACTGTGGTTAGACAGAGGCACGGGACCCTCTGGATTGCAAGTCCAGTGTTCTCACCATGGCACCATGGCACCATCCCACAATACGGGTATTGTAAAACAATGTTGTTTATATAATTCCTCATACCTGCACAGCAAGTCTGGAGGCACTGAAAAGGGTTTTGAAATTTAACCCCCCACTCGTGGGTCACAGAAACATCAAAAAAACACATCGCAGTGAGCATCAACAACACAGGATACACGGCTTAGAGGTAACTCACTCAAGACAGTGGTACTACAGGATTTGTGCTCTAAAGGTAATTCTAAAAACGCTCTAGTTTAATACTTGGGCGATGCTGATGTTGCTGCGTTGGCAGTGGTGCAGAAGGGCATTTTGACAAAAAATAAACTCAACACATGAATCAAAAAGCTGTGGCCTAAAATAAAAAATATCGGCGACGGTTTGGGCCAATGACCCTTATTAATTTAAATCATATTGAGAAGGACCATTGCCGAAAACGTTGCCTGCTATATATGTGAAGGCAGCTGTTATTGACCGGAAGAGCGCACAAGCGTGGTCACCACATCTACGCCTCTATTTCAGGAACTAAACAGTTAGACTTCTCCACAAAATCTGGCTGTCGCCTGATGAAGCTAGTTGTGATTACTGGCGAAACGTCGTACTCAGATTGCAAATGTTGTGGCGTGGCTCTCCAACACACCGGTGTGCTATATTAGTGACGAATTGGCCACGTTCTGTTTACGTGACAACCCTTACTAGTTGGCTGTGTTGGGTGGTGGCGGATTTTAATGACACATTTATATATTGACGCGATCTAACCCAAAAAACCTCTATAATGGATGATATTGGTCGCGAAAGCCTACGTGTTAAATGTGTTAAGTTTTTTTTTAAACACTGTAATACGTTTTCGAAGGATTTATTTAGTTATTTAACAGTGATTTTGTCAAACAACTGCTGGATAAATGCCTCCCCATGCTGTGTTAGTCATAGAAGTTGTTTGACCATACTTCGCCATTTTTCTGGTCAGCAGTACAGGTGGGTGAAATAATATACCCATGACTGTTTCAGATATCACCACCGATGTTAGCTATGGCTGTAAATCATTCTCAGGTTGCGAGGTTCATGACGCACTGCGCCAACCACTGCCCCACCACTTTCTCTTAATCATTATTAACGAACATATTTAATATAAAACAGCTAATAAAATGTAAACCTAGCAAGTATTGGGCCCCCTAGTGACATTTGAACTTTAAGGCGGTACCCCGGGGTACCATAGTACCCCGGCTCTCGCACAATGTCCGTGACGCAGTCATTTTTAGTCTGTTGATGGTCGGCGACGCGGCAATCGACTCATATCGACGAGCCGTACAGAAAGTAGAAATTTTCGATAACGGATTTTTTTATGCTAATGTTTGGCGTTTCGACACCGTGGAGTAGCACTGATTTCGGATTGATTGGTACCCCCATTCGCTGAGTTAAGTACACCCCTGGAAAAAATAGTGTCCCAGAAATAAAACACTTAATTGCCTCGGGCATTTTGTATTATTTGGTACCCCGGGGTACCGCCATCAGGATCATTTGTGAATATGCTCACGCCAAGTCTGAATGAATATTCACACAATGCTGACAAAACTGGACGAAAAGCAGTGTGCAGAGTCAGATACCTGGATGCCTGTCGCTCGCGCATACAGGCACAAAGGAAATACTCGACGAACTAAGAGTAGGTCACTTAATTGAGCTCAAGATCAAGACGAACAAAGCATGAATCGTGTAGAAAAAGTTTGCTAACAATTGGAGATGTTCGTTGAGGGGCACAAAATACACCAGAACGTGGATATCAAGGATTATTTTGAACGCATCAAAACGTGAACAAAAAATAAGGTGGGTGATAGCAGGTTGGAGTGCATTTTGTAAAACTGAACTTCATCCTTAAACAATCAGAGACCAATGCGCTTGAATAATATCGTTTTCAATGAGTGAATACACCTGCGATGACACATGGTTAAAAAGCATGACCATTGACAAAACACAGAGGAAACAAATGATGAAATGTGCACAAATAAGCATTGAGAGGTGCATACGTGGAATGAGATCGAGAGGAACAAGTAGATTGGAGAACATACGAATATTAGAGACATAATTTTGACTGTCAAGAAAAGTAAATGGGCTTGGGCAGGAAGGGAGGATAGCCGGTGATCCAGATTAACGATGGAGCGGCAGCCAAGGAATGGAACACGCTCGGGAAAAAAACGAGCTCTCCTGTGCAAGTACTGAGTAGTTTGCTACATCGCCATACCATGAGAAATAGCTCATAAAGGCCTTCATCCAGCAGTAGATTGACAAAAGGCTGTACATTATTATTATAAGCCCATTCTTAGCCACAATATCTGATAAAATGCCATGGAGTAGTCTGTCGCGGTATCGTTTTGGTCGAACGTGATGAAGTTCAAGATTATTTCGTGAGGCTTTATCGGAGTGGGCTCATGAGCCACAACCAGCAGAGGGCCTCAGTGCAATTTCCATCTGATGTCAATTAGAACGATGATTGCACATTTGTGGAATGTTATTGTGTCTCGCAGCACGGAACCCAACGCGAATTGTGCAATGGTTGCAACTGTGACAGATATTGGCCATGGCGTAACACTGGAACATTGGAAATGTATTTTATTCATTTACAGCAAATCTTGTTAATAACCATTCTCTTGTTGCAATGCGGTCGGGTATTGTGGCCATGAGACTTTGAGAGTATACGTACTGCAGACATAGTTTAAACATCCTATTGCAGGAAATGTAAAGATAATACAAATGAATATATATAAAAAATAAGATACGGCTCTTTGTTAATTCACTGTGTTGGTCAACCAGAACAAAACTCAATCCTCTGACCTCGCTGATCCTCTGATCTCTCCACTGGACCCCAGAATAATCCTAGAGCAACTGCAAGTTTGCGCTTTTACCATCTACATGGATCAGCCTTGGCATGCCTTGTCCCAACCGTGATATAATTACGTGCGGCGTGAGGTCGTATAGATTGGAACGTAACGTTATTACCGCTAATGAGATATTTCCGACGATACGCACGTTAGAAAGCTACATCATCCATGCGTATGCATGCCCTTTATTTATAGTCTCATTTAGATTCCAAACACGAGTGGGCCAGTGAGTGCACATACACTCTGCACACACCAGATGTCGCAGTACCAGAGCCCAGACGAAGCCATGTTCAGCATGATTAGGCTAAGTAAAAAGTAAAATTATTTTACCAGGTAATGTAAGGCCCACTGAGCTAACGTTTTTTCAGAAGCGACCTGGCCACATATGGTAATTCAACAAAGTGGCTTCTCATATAGAAATGTATAGCAGCAGTCAAAAACTTTTCATGCATTTTTCTAAATGTGGAAGGAAAAAAACCGGAAGACCAAGAGAAAAATCCACGCGACCACGGGGAGAGAAACACGCAAAGTACAAATATACAGCAGGCGTCAGGGTCGGGATCGAACCTACGACCTCCTGTATACCAGACGAGGTAGTTAACATTTCCTAGCCACCGTGATGATGATGAGAGAGAAACACGCAAACTACAAATATATAGCAGCAGGCGTCAGGGTCGGGATCGAACCCACGACCTCCTGTATACCAGGCGAGGTAGTTAACATTTCCTAGCCACCGTGATGATGATGATGATGAGATAGAAACACGCGAACTACAAATATACAGCAGCAGGCGTCAGGGTCGGGATCGAACCCACGACCTCCTGTATACCAGGCGAGGTAGTTAACATCTCCTAGCCACCGTGATGATGATGAGAGAGAAACACGCAAACTACAAATATATAGCAGCAGGCGTCAGGGTCGGGATCGAACCCACGACCTCCTGTATACCAGGCGAGGTAGTTAACATCTCCTAGCCACCGTGATGATGATGAGAGAGAAACACGCAAACTACAAATATATAGCAGCAGGCGTCAGGGTCGGGATCGAACCCACGACCTCCTGTATACCAAGCGAGGTAGTTAACATCTCGCCACCGTGTTAATACCCATGGCTTGTAGAGCCAGATTAAGGCACATTTACAATTCATAGGGGGTCATAGGGGGTCAGTGCTAATACATAAAGCCTCAAATAGTAAAGAGCTATTTTATTATGAATATCCAAGGTTCATAGAGCCAGACTAAATCATATTTAAGATCATCCGGGTTCAATCCCAGAACCAGCATCAATAATGGCATTATTATTTGGAGTGCTGCCTCTAAAACTCTCAATATCTGAGCCTCACGGTTCCAGGCTAGGGTACTAAATAAGGTTTGTCAGGGTCAGTGTTAGTATCTGATGCTCAAAGAGCCAGACAAAATCACATTTAAGATTCACAGGTGAATGCCTGAGGTAGTATTATGAGAACCAATTTGCGTGATGTTTATGTGCTATAAAAAAGGCCCATTCCCCTGAAACGTCGACTATCATATATCTATATATTTAATTTGAAGCACCCCATTACCTGTCAACCCATACGGTTTACCCGTATTTTTGTACAGGAAAATTGAGTTTTCAGGTCCATACGGCTGTAAGTACAGCTGTTTTAATACGGGCAACAACATGATTTTGTCCATTTGTTTGTGTTTCTCCCTTGTGATGGGACTTTGTAGGATGAACATTGAGATGTATAAGGGCACGGGGTGATCAATAAGGTCTAAATTTGTCTGTAATAAGGCACTGATAAGGAAGGAGTTGACAGGTGTGCGTCACGGTGTTGTTATTGATAAACGCGGTGAGTTTCCAGCATTGTAGCGCTTGGCCACATTAGCATTGCTCAGATGGGAGCCTCACATTTCCCAGTATGAATAGGCGCAGGCGCAGTGCGAGCACGCGTCCCATTGGCGAAGCCGCCTCGTCTCGGCCAATCGCGAGGAGGCGAGCGGCGCGCCGCGCCTATGCGATGTGGGGAATGTGAGCGCGCGGTTCAAAGCGCGCGTCCAACCGCGCGCTGCGTCGGCTGCGCAGGTTGAGCGCAACGCGCCCGGATTTCCCCAATTTTATTTTTAAAAGAATTGTTTCAAACAACAACAACAACAGCAGCAGTAAACAAGTGATAAGGAGCGCTAAAACAAAAAAAAACCTACACGAGTCGCTAGTTTTTATCCCGCCGGTCGTGATGATGCGACCAGTCGTCGGAGTGGCGTCTGAGGCGGTGGCGATGTCGACGGTGGTGGTAGCCGCGGGCTGAGGGAATCCGCGGCAAGGCAGCGCCGCTAGGCAAGACCGTAGGCTTCATGGCGGCCTACTACTGGGACTCAAGCCGTCGCTGCTGAGGTCTCGCTCTTCTCTATCGCTTCCCGCTCACTCCGCCGCCGCCGCCGCCGCCGCGCTCTCTCGCACGCTTCTCGCCGCCCTTCAAGCGATGGAAGGCGATGGCCACGGCGCGGAGAGCGGCCGCAGGGCGAAGGAGAGGCGACGGAAGGAGGCGACGCTGAAGCGGCCGGCACCGATCGCGGGGGGGACCTCGGACCCCGCCTTGGAGAAGGGAGACGCGGGCACGGAGAGCAGGGAGGGCAGCGGCGACGGGGGTCGGGCAGCAGCAGCAGCAGGGGCAGCAGGAGCAGCAGCAGCAGAGGCAGTAGCGGCAGCGGGAAAACACGGGCCAGCAGCACGGGCAGCAACAGGAACACCCGGTGCGGCAGAAGGAAATCACGGGACATCGGGGTCGGCGACAGCGGCAGCAGTAGCAGCAGCAAAAACCGGGGCAGCGGCTGAAGCAGGAGGGCATGAGGCAGCGGGGATAACGATCGGTGCGGCGCCTGCGGCAGCGGCGAAGCACGAGGCGGCAGCAGGAGCAGCAGTAGCAGCAGCAGGAAAAGATGGCACAGCATTGACAAAATCTAAAGCAGCAACTGCAGCAAAACCTGGCGCAGAAGCAGGGATGCCTAAAGCACCGGCAGAAGCAGCAGCAGCAGCAAACCCTCTGGCATTAACAGCTGTTGCAGCAGCAACTGTATCGCCGTCAATGGCAGCAGTACAATCTGCCGTTACAGCAGCAACTGCATCAACAACAACAACACTATGTGTAGTAGAGTCGACGACGACCACATTGTCAACACAAACAGGAGCAACATCAGAATCGGCAGCTACTACACCTTTACCAGCAGCAAAAGCAACAACATATGAATCGGCATCTTCAGCATCATCATCTTCATCATCGGATAGTGATGGTGGTGGAGGTCAAAATAACACTGTTTGTGTTGCATCTGATGGTGATGGAAGAGCTTCTGGGGGTGGTGATGGTGGTGGAGGACGAGGGGGTGGTGTTGGAGGAGCTACTGCTCTTGGAGTTGTTGTAGATGGTGGTGGAAGACCAGGTACTGGTGGTGGTGGTCGTGGACGAGCCGCTGGTGTTGGAGGTGACGGTAAACGTGGTGGAGGACACGCCGGTGGAGCCGCTGGTGGCGATGCTGGTGGCAGACGAGATGAAGAGGCCAAGGCGAGGAGCGTGGCGCAGCCTGGGACCCAGCGCTCGTTCGCCCCCGTCGGGAGAGTTCGGAGCGAGGAGAGCGATGAGGCGTCCAAGGCTAAGGTAATTGGGAGCAGGGCCATAGGAGATGGTCGGGGACCTGGAGAGCCACGCCGGAGCCACGCCGGAGCCGTGCCGAGCCAGACCGATATGGCTGCAGGTTATTTTCCACTGCAGAAGTCGAGCCGTGCGGATGAATTCACATGCTGTGTTTGAATTGTACTCACTGATGTCACATTCAATTAATGCGGTATCAGCCCCACCCCAGGGCCCTGGTCGAGCCCCTAAATTAGATGCAGATTTTTTTGTGAAGCCAGTCTATCACGGTTTTCGTCTGGCACGGCTTGGCAAATAGCCAGTTGAAAACCCACCCTCACTGTTGGGGCTCGGATGTTGCTGGTGGACAGGGTAATGCATGGCTGAGGGAGCCTGAGAGGTGCAATCGTGTGTGGATTTTTTCTCCGGCCTCCGTAAATGTTCTGGTGCTGCTTCTGCATGGGATTTGCTTCCAAAAGGTGATGAGGCACCTCGTGCTTTTTTTTTTAAACGACTTGATACCTTGCATTACCAACTGGTAAAATCATGCAATGCCGACTGGTAATGTAATGTACATGGTAATGGATGAGATTGAAGATATTGTTTGGCCCACAAAGAGGTGAAGCGGGTGTCCTTGGCATCTTGTAATATTCGTGTCAGAGGAATGAACCAGCACTGGCAACATCGCTGAATATAAAACTTGGGCATTTGTTAATGATTATGGCAGTTTTACAAGTGTAGTGATTGGTGGGTACATGGTCGTAGCATCGTTAACAACTGTTGCACCAAAATGTTATACATTTTTACGTTACTTAATTGGCCACCTGAAATATGCAAAATATTATTATTACAACACTTGTTTACCCAGGGAAGCCTCACTGAGTCTCAATGTTTACAGGAAGGTCCTGACAAGTTTCTTGTGGTATGGGTGGTGTCACTATGTGTAATCCCAATTGAGTAATTTTGCAAGTATGTTTCAGAATTGGGATGTTTGGCCAGTACAAGTTACATTGTATGTTTTTTTAGCAATGGGAGGAAACTGAAGAACCCGGAGAAAACCTTTGTAGAACAGGGGGATGACGTGAAAACTCCACACTGCAAGGTGCCCAGTTTGGAAATGGAGGCACAAGAGATTCCAAGCGTTACCAATGCACCACCCTACCGGCAATACATACGAACGAATATGGCATCACTGACGTGGTAAAGCACTGTCAGGTGATGGCAAAGAGCCTCTTGATGCAACTCCGAGGAGTAGTTCTGTGCTGTTATCCACTAGGCTGTTTCTTGACATGATCTTCTGTTGACGGGGTAAACAAATTGTATTTGACTTGAGACATGACCCTGATAACAGTACAATTAAAAATATACCATCATTAATTATGCAGTCAGATTCCCCCCCCCCCAACAAAAAATATCGTTTCCAAGTACTGAAGGTTCCAGTTAACTGGCATGTTGTGTAATTGGTCCTAAAATTGGATTTTCAATGTCTCTTTCCCCAAAGATATAACTTAGATTATTGGTGCATTTGTTTTGGCGAGATGTGCCATTGTTCTTATATGCCGGCGACTCCAAATGCTTACAATTTTTGACGCCAGCCCAATGTTTATTTAACGTTTGACATTTTGAGATTAAGTAAGATGATTTGGGTGCAATATTGCAAATCGAATCAAGACATGTAAATCCAATGTATTCTGACCCGTCACCTGTATTTTTAATTTCACGTTTTGAATAGTCATGAACCATTTTACAATGTGCACCCAATGACGATATGAAACATGTAAAGCAATACTTCATAGCATGCACTGTCAACCATATATATTTTTTTAGTTTAATTTTATTGCAATATCTTACAAAAAACCACAGACGCTGTAGGCTGTTGTTTTCAGCTTTCCAGAAGATTCCAAGCCACCAATATCGATTGCTTTTCATGGAAGGAAAGAAAACATGTTGCTAGCTGTCTAGTTGTTGAACCAGACATTACTACAATACAAGTATTCAATGGATTACATTGGCAGCAGCCCTCATGCTGGCATTGACAAAACAAAAACGTTCTTGAGAGAGCTCTCCTGTGAAGAAGGAAAATTGCTAAAATATGTTACGCCCGATATTTATTTGTTGCAATACAATTGTGTTAATAATGATAAGAGGGGTGGGCTTGTAGCACAGTCGTAAGTGCACTGCGCTGTAAGTCAATTTGCCCAGGCCAGATATTTCACTAGTTAGTACCACCTGACATGGGACATCATTCATGAGTGGTTTGAATGTATTTGTGGCCGAAAAGATTGAACGATGTGATAATCATTTTAAACGATTGCATTATCACATAATGCTGAAACCAATATCCATATAAACACATAGATACTACTAACTTTTGATGCCTTAGGTGGTACCGATTTATGCTTTGACCTGTGGATCTTATGACTCAGGCGAGTTTAGTTAGAATCCTGGCGACAGCTGACACCAATGGCGAGTGATATCTGAACCAGACATGGGCCCTTCTTTCTCTAACGGACATTGGTTTCAGCACGGTGAATTCTAGTCAAACAACTCAAATGACTAAAAGGGAGGCCTTCATCCAGTAGTGGATTAATACAAGTCTGTACATAGTGACATGGGTGGTGATGTTTTTTGCAGTCAAGGCATTGCACTCTGTTGCCATATTTAAGAGGACTGAGTTAAAATGATGGAGACAAAACTGGTTCAATGGGATATAATTCTCGATACGGCAAGAACCTGTTCTCCCACTTTCTTGTAAGTTACAAGACACATTGTCGTAAATGTATTGTTATTATTTCATGCTACCATTTATTTACAGTACATCAAAGGTCTCAAGGCACAGCTTTCAGAAAAAAAAATCAAGATTGTGCGTTATGAAACAGTCAAGTGCTGTACAACCACTGAAAGTAATTAGTGATGATGGAACAAAAAATTGTAACGTATAAAAGTATACATTGAAACTCTCATGCACATTAAAGTAGTGTATGTTGTAGGTGGGTTGATATTTTACATGACCATAAATCTTCCTTTCTGTTTAGATTCATGATTTTTTTCTGGCACATAACATCCAGGTGACACCCCTGGTTAAACGTGGATAATTAGAATGAATATGTTGAGTGATGAATCTTATCCATGAAAATCCACAGAGAGCAGGATTAATTCAGCTCTTACTGGAGACTCTTTTTTGGGGGCATTGTCTGTGGATAATAGGATTTTCTGTGGAATTCCTCTTTCACCATCAGCCGTGATCAGTTCACTGCGAGATGAAGGCCTCCCCATGGCACTGCCACCTCTCGCGATTTTGCGATGCACAATCCAATGCAGCACTTGCATGTAAACTAAATTCATCGCTCCAGCTCGTCAGTGGGCATCCTCTCAGATGTGTTCCATTACTGACATTTCAATTCCTTTTAACCTGTTAAATTATGCGGATAATAGGATGAATTTAACATCCATGGGGATCACTTTCCAAGTGTGTCGCAAACTGCAGATAAATGTTGATAAAATTATGAATTTGCCACATTAATCCTTATCGGTGGAACACCTGTGGATGAGCGGAAGGTTTCTGGATCAATTAGAAATCACGGATAAGAGGAAGAGTAGAAAATGGTAATGAATTAAAGGCGTTTTACTCATTGTGAAATTTCTATTTTTTTAGACTGGTTACTATACAGATAATACCTAAGGGTTGGGCGATAAACCTAATATCAGTATGTTTTTTGGTTAAGATTTACAGACAGGGAAGGAATAAGTTTAACTACAAGAAGACCCATTGGTCTAAAACCATCACATTACATTTAGTTCTACACCTAGATCGTCATAACTCCAGAGTTAAAATGTCTATTGGCTGGCATGCAACGAGTGTTACTTTCAGCGACGGAGCAATTGGGAGAGTGCTGTCCCCTGTGCCAAATAGTGCCAAATATTTTTTTTTATAATACATGATCACTTTAAGGTATCTTAGAAGTTAGCTTCGTGATGTTCGCTTCCATGACCTGTTCTCTAAGACGAAGGATTACACCGTTCTGTGGGAGCTAATGGATACTTCAGATGTAATAGCTCTCGTGGCACAATCTGGAGAAAATTGAGGAGGGTGGGAAGCAAGCAAAACAAATCGACGAACAATAATAATACATCAATCCTGGTTTGTGTAACGAAAATTTAATTTTCCTCGCGGCTCTATCACAACCACTTGAGTACCAGAACTTTCTAGCATGGAAGGTGAATTGTTGCTGGACGTGAAATGTCAAGACTTACTCTTTCTTTGCCCATTACCAAATTCACCTGAAATGCACCCGAACTCAGGAGCTAAGGTCGCGCCCAACCTCAGAAGTTAAGCGGGATGTGCCTGGATAGTGCTTTCATGGTTGACCACCATGCACAGCATATTGTTATAGGCTGTAGGGCTGCATGTTGGATAGTGCAGCAAAATCCATTGTTGCACTGTGCTTCTGTGTGCTCACACCTATGCTCCTCATCTTCATCAACTCGTACTTAACAGCGCGGTGAAGTATGATTGTAGCAACCCGCACGGCCCACCTGGCAAGGGGAGGCCCTCGTACAGCAGTGGATTCACAAAGCTCTGTACATGCACACAATCTCCTTGAAGAGGAATTTGAGACAACACTCCACTGCTGTACAGTGCTGCCTATAGAGTAGTTATGTTCTCTTCAATCCAAGGTCATTGTCGTATTTAGGTGATTGCCCCTGATGCACTCGGGCAACAGCCTTCGTGTGTTTGCTTCCCTAGGCATAATATTTACCAGCGTTGAGTTTGACCTCGACGCAGTGCTAAACTTTGGAAATCGCCTGCGCTAATAAGGGGACGGAAAGCCAAGTAAATCCACATGACATCGTTCTTGGCAGAAGAGCTTATTGTTTGCGTTGTTGGGGGTGTTGGGGGGGGAATGATACGCCAAATATATTTTAACCGTGCGCTTCCGTGCTCGATTGCAAAAATAAAAATCGTACTTTCATCAGAAAATACAAAGAAACGTTGAAATACAAGCCCGTGTGTGTGTGTGCCCGCG